ACCATTTCTCCTCTCTGCCCACATCATGAGCATAAGGAGGCTGAAACATTCTGCTTCTCCCAATAGGATCTGGGATCCTTCCATCCCTGTCTTGGAGAGAGACATCTGGGGCCTTCTCTGGAGCCTGGCAACCCCCATCCTTCCTTTTTGGAGCCTCCTGGCTACAAACAAGTGTCCTCCAAGAAGAAGCACACTGACTATGATGATGGCACCAAGTATGCCATGGCATGAGAGGCTATGAAATAAGCCCAGCCTCATACAAGAGGATTTAAAGAGATGAGGAAAAGGAAAAAAAAATGGTTAGGGATAACAAGAGCACCTTTCCAAAGTACTTTAGGTTCTGAGATTAAAATGTGTTGTGGCTATCTTGCTTGATAGCATAGCCATTGTTTGGTTTCCTTCTTGGCCTTGCCCACTGTTAACTTTCCCTGTGTGCGCTGCAGCTTACTGGGATAAGCCATATTCTGTTTTCTGGCTGTAAAAAGTCATTTCTACTTCATTTCTTTTGATCTATGCGATACATTGGTATTGTTTTCAGATCAGTACTATCAATATCCACGCAGGAGAAGGTTTGCATGAGTAGAACAGCTTTAGAAGATGGGGAAACACTGTTCTTGAACCAGCAAGTCATTTACTTTTCACACAGTGGTTTTTGGCAGATTATGATTGAGCTGAACAAATGTAGATTTACATCATATGACAAATCTCACAATTTCAGCTAGTGCTTCTATTCCCGTTTGAAAACAGAACAGCACATTTTTTAAGAGTCAGCATGAAATGAAAATCTCCAGCAATGTTGTATTTGCTTTTGAAGTGTCCCAAAACAAATGTGAATTTAAGCTGCATTTTTCCATTAGAAAAAATTACAGGATTCACATATCCTGCCTCTTCCCATTGTGCCAGAATCCTTCCATCTCCCAAAATTCAAACTATGTGCTTTCAACAGTCCCTCCTAAGCATGAAGCTAATTAAAATTACTCTGGAATAGGAGTATGCCTGCCCTGTAGTGGATCACTAGTAGGAGACCATCAGACAGGAACAAGTCCTTGATCCTACCTTCACAGCTCCTGTGACAGTGTAGGCATGACCTTGTACAATCCCGTTCTTCAGCTCTATGTTCCTCTTCATCTGCAGAAGGGAGAAAGCACAGCTTTTAGCTCTCTGCCACACTGCAAAGGTATGGGCAAAGGCATGGCCATCAGCTCCCAGAAATGTCATTTGGCATGGCAGAAAAAAAGACTTTGTTTTGATTACAGCAGTATCACAGATACACTTGGCTGCAGAAGAACGTGACTGTTGTTCCCACCGCAGCCACAAGCAGGCCAGTAAATTTAACAAAATTACAGGTCTCCATGGATTGGTAAGTTCTTCAGTGGTCCAGAGCTGCTACAACTGCAGGATGACCTGGACTGGGCCACTGGCAGAATTTCCCTGCCACTCAGAGTTTAGTGGAAGTCACCTGTCTGAGGGGCTAGTCCTTGGCTTGTTGGGAACCAGGCACTCCAGGAGCAATATCATACACTTTGAAGTCTTCCCTTACCTGCCTTAGCAACCTTTTATTAAGGTACTTGCTAACCATCACAGAGCCTTCTACAACTTCCCAGCATCAAAACCAGTAGCCTGCAAACCACAATGTGACAACAGCATCCCCTCACGGGAGAGGGGTGCATTTTGGCCTTGCTAGAATTAATCACAAAGGTATGAGGCCAAAATCAGCCCTGCTGCAAAGGGAACCCACTCTATCACCAGGAGAAATGCCACAAACCCCGCTCTGACAGATCAATCTATCTACATTTATGCAAAAGTCTTTACATTCCTGTCCTAGTTTCAGCCGGGCTAGAGCTGATTTTTTTTTTTGGTAGCTAGAATAATGCTGGTTTGGGATTCAGTGTGGGAGTGGGTATGATCGAGCAGCTGTGTGGGGTTTGGCTGCCAGCCGGGTTCAAACCATGGCAATTCCTTACTGCACAACCTTATCTACTTTCTGCTGCCAAGATCTCTCCAGGCATCCATAAACTCCAGCTATTGCATTATGTAAGTGATCATGGACTTCCTTTTTACTTAAAAGAGCAACTTTTATGCACACATGGTAAACCAAGGAAGGCATGCTGCTGGCCCTGGGACTCACCTGACCTGAGGTGCTACACCCCATCAGACATCGAGACTTGTCAGCTGCTTTCAGTATTTCCTCCAGATCAGGAGGGGGATCCTTCAATGAAAGCTGTGCTTGGACACCACCTGTGAGGTCTACTAATGCATCAGAAAGGTAGCCTCCATGCAAGTTCTGGTAGGAGCCCCGCAACCTAAAAATAAAAACCAAAACACCACCACCCCCACACACCCCAGGTTAATTAATCCTTACAGTGTGTTTTAATAAACAGCATACTGGCTGTACAGCTAAGTGGTGGCTTCCAAAATGGACCTGTGGATCGAGGCGGTGAGCATGGAGGGAGCCTGGAGTGCATAGACACTGGGGCCAGGTAATGAAAAGAAATGCAGCTGAAATACATGCCCAGACACAGCGCATGCCCTGTGAAATGAATGAGGCAAAGAGGGACTTTTTCCTATGTATTCACTCACATCTGAGGCAGCAGCCTAGAGTCATTTACAGACAATGGAAAATAAGAAGTTGCATCTCATGCCAACACAGGCGTTTTAACATGAGCTGCCTCTCAATTTGAAGTATCCAGTTTCTTTCTGAACAGGAAGAGAGCCAAGGTTGCCTAGTTCAAATGGATGTTCAAACAGCCAAACTGTGACTTTCCACATCGTATTTTGTCATGACTCTTCACAAAAATGGCCAATATCCCTTTGGCGAATGAGAAATAGGAAGAGGAGAGAGGTGAAGCCATTTGCCCATGCTCCCAAAACAAGACAGAAATAAGTTTTCAGCACTATTCTGCATTCACTCTGCTAGAGTGCAATAATAGGGTAATAATTTAATATCACTAACACAGTCCTTGTTTTTTGTATCTTGTGCTTTTTATTGAGACAGCAAATAAGCTGGAACATGCTGTACTTACAGCAGGTAGAGCATGCTGTTAAACCCCACCATACATACTGTATTTAATGAAGGTAATCAAATGAAGTTTGTGGCTAATTGTATTTTGAAGGGTTGTCCTTGTCCTACACTGATGAAAAGAATTTGTCATGGGCACTGGGGAAAAATTTCTCAAATGGGAATCTCATAAACAGCATCGCTTGCAACTCTAATTTAATAGAGGTTTGGTTTGCTTTGTAATTAAAATCTTATGCAGCAAATTGATACTGAATCCTGAATCAACTTTTCTGAGATATCTCAGGGCAAAATGCATTCTATTCCTGAGTTGCTCAGATGCTGCTTTAACATTTTCTTATTCCTGACTGAATCTGCCAAAATAATTAGCTCTATTCTTCAGCTTCTCTTTACTGCATTGCAAATGTTACACCAGCTTAACGTAGGGCATGTGTATCAAGTTGCAGCCCTTCATACTAACCCTAGCAGAGGAATTTTTCTTCAGCATATTTAATGAAAGGCAATGTTACAGATGCTGAGGGACCACACTGTTATTCCTTCACTCCTCAGAGGATTTTAAAAAAATTATCATCTCTTTATTTGTCATTCTTAACCCTGCAGTACTCTGGGGACCTCAGCCAAGAGTCAGAGCTCTCTGTGTGAAGTGAGAGCTGACCAGAGACTCACGGGAGTACGTGTTGTGTCTGTGCATGGTCTTCAGTCATGCTTCCTCTCAGTGCCTGCTCCAAATATCTGCATGATCTCTAATTAAGCAACTGCAAACAGAGGTAATCCCTGCTTAGAGTCTGCAGTTTTAAACAGAGGAAAATAAGGAAAGGAAAACAGAGGCAAAGTTTGCTTAAAGTAAGGAGGAGACGCCCAGCCCCTTTTGTGTCACCAGCCATTGCCCTGTTTGTTTTCCCTCTCAGACATTAACATCCCAAGGATGGACTGGGTACATTTAGGTCTTCAGCCCAAGATCAACATCTCTAGGTTACGTTGACCCTGTGTTTGTATGCAGCCACCGTTCCTTGCATAAGTACAGCATAACATAGACAGCTGTTAGCCTGAGCTCATCCCTGTGTGCTTTGCATGAAGCAGTGAGTGAAACCACTCGTAGAAAGCATTCAGCTATTCAGGAAGAGTAGAGCAGATATATTTACTTGGCATAAGCTTTTTCCAGCAAGGATGGCCAGAATTCATTTGACGTTCGAGGCTGTACAGACAGGTATCTTCCATTTAAGAATGGCAGCCGGTCATCTATCACTACATCCACCCAGTCTCCACATTGCCAGAACTGGAAATAAAACAAAGTTAAAGCAGAACCAACACACAAAACAAAAAATAAAATAAAAAAAATAAAGGGGGAATGAAAAAAAAAGAGCCTTTTTTAAGAGCTAATATTCATGCCAAGCAACAGCCACCTGAAATAGCACAGGAATTAATCTAAAGTATGGATATGTGCACGTTCTCTCCTGAACTGCTTTAGGCTAATGGTCAACATTGCTAAACAAGCTAGCAAGTGGCTGAATTTCTCAGTGGCAGGGGAAGTCGTCTGGGAATATAAATAGTCCTGCATTCACTGGAAGGAAAGATTCAACATGGGAAATATGCTAATATTCTTGGGCAACAGAAAGCGTTCAAGATGATAAAGAACAATCATGCAGATGGTTCAGTGAGCCTCACTCCTCAGCTGCACTTGGATTTCCCCCTGCAGCACAGCTCTTGGCCAGAGAGCTTCAATCAAGATCCAGTCTCTAAAATTTCTTTCCTCTGTGTTTCAATTAAGGCTCTGATACGCTGTCATGGACAGGGACAGCATAATGACTAAAGACTGTTTTGAGGTGTTATCCATCTCCTTGATAGATGAGGAGGATACAGGCAGTCTCTCCAGCATGTGGACAGAGCAGGTGTTTCTCCAGTTGATGAAACCTTTCAAGGGAGAAGATAGGGAAAG